TGTGGAACAAACCTTTTGATATCAAACAAAATATGTTTGAAAACTAATGCAATTGCCTTACACGGATTTCTTCCAAAAAAAATGTGTTTATGTTTTATTATAGATTTTGAGACGTGGAACGCGATTATACTGTTTGAAAAACGAAAAGAAAATTTAACCCCAAAAAACACATTATTTATTGCATTTTGTTATGATTTGCATGCAGCTGTGCATCCTCCTCACAATTTTATATCCCTCCATCAAAAGTAAGCTTTAGGGCCGGTTGTTCAATGTCTGGTTATCACTACCACTACACTATCGACGATTTCGCCATGATGCATGTAGCATGTGATCGATAAAGCAGCCCTTGTACTTAACCGGAGCTTCTACCTCTGATTTGTGCTCTGATTTGAACAACCGGCCCTTAGTGTTATTCAAGATTTTTAACTTAAGCCATGGTATAAATCTCTCAGCCCTCTGAGAGCCAAATTAAAACGATTTTAAAGCCAAACTTCGAACTGTTGTATGAGTTTTTGTTCTGAAGTGGAAAACAAATATTAACCAAAAATGTCGAATGGAATTTAATGGCTCAAATTAAAGGTGTTGAATAGCACTAAAACAAACAGGATGAACAGTTGACTGCATATCATAAGAAATGCATATTTTAAATTGAGTAATTATAATTATTATTTTTTTTTTGCTTTTTAAACAGTGGAATCGTATTTTTCAAAATCTATTAGATTAGCATAATAAAACATACAAAAAATTTGCACACTGTGTGGCCCGTTAGCTGCATTAACTTTACCTGGCGCACAATCAAACGCAAGGTACACAATGCACTGTATTAAATCGCAACTCAACTACGCTCCTATCCGATTTCCTACCGGTAATTAACGGGTAATCAGCCGGCAGATGTCGCATATATGGACCAAGGTGTATTTAACAAGGTGGTGTTAGCCGTATTTAAATAAAAAATTACACTAACAAATTATACGCAGATATCCCTACTGTCATTGGTATGAGTTACAACAAACACATCATTTTGACGTAATGCACACCACGGCGAAAAAATCAGCTGTCGCCCCAACACCACCTTGTTACATACACATTGGCATATACGCACGAAAATGGCTACTGTGAATAGCTTTGGGGCAGAACCGTTAGAAAATTTTAGTTCGAGCGTGCAAATTTAGCATAGAAACTTGTCGTAAAACGTTACACCTTTTGTTAAAACTTAAGACACCAGCTAAAAAAATATCAAATTGTATTGAATACTACAACAAAATCGAACTTTTGGTGACAAAGTAATTCAATTTTCGTACCTACACAGAACATCCCTATAGAGCGTGTAAAATACCAGTCATGCCACCGAAAGAAGCAAAACAATGTAAGACCAAGAATCAACTTCAAGAGCATTTGGTTGCGGAAGTTAACACTCAACGATATGAAGCTAATGAAGCACATATGAAAGTGGTACAACAATTGCTTGGATGGGCCCTTTTGAATGGTCTTGGGTCGTGTACCGAAGGTATGGGAATGCTGCAACCTATGAACAACCAATCTAGCCAATGTGGAGGTAATGTTCAGGGGGCGAGTTTGTCAAAAAAAGCTCGAAAGCGTTTGCGACGTCGCCAACGGGCAGAAGCTCAAAGTGCTGCAGCTGTACGCGCCGGAGCTACTACGCCAAAGGTTAATACAACTGAGTCCATTGCACCAAAGACGAAAGAGCAACCTCCAAACGTGCCGGTACAAGCCGGTATGCTCCATGATCTGGCTGTACAATTTCGCAGTGAAATTTGTGTATTAAAAATGCTTTTTGATTCTGAATTACAAGAGAACCCGGAATCAACACTTAAAAATAAACCAATTGTAGCGGAGATAAATATAAACAACAAGAGTCTACTTTCAAAAGGAGCTATCAAATCTATACGCACCACAATCCTAAGGACGATTGAAAACTATCAAGTATCTAAAAAAACAACACCCTTATTTTATAGCATGACAAACAATAATACATACATAAACATTTTATGTGAAGATGAATATGCATTTGAGTGCTTAAAAGATTCCGTTGTGCAAATGAAGAGCTTAGGCAGAGTATGCTTGTCCACTTTAGAACCGAATGCGGGCCGTTTGTATTGTATGAGTGTCATTTATACGGGACTTATTGATGATCCAATGAAATTCCTATTGCATGTGCGTTTGCAGCATCCGAAAATACGCACTGATTACTGGATTATTGCGAGCAGCAAAGTATGTACAGGAACGCACGAAACCCAATTCTTGTTTCTGGTGGACGAGCTGTCGGCACTGGCGCTGGAATATCAATATCGTTATAGACTTTTCATTTGCTTAGAGGAAGCGTTGTTCCACAACCATGGACAGTTGCCGAATTTGGTTTAGTATCGAATGGATGGACGTATGTACATGGCTAATGCACACCTACGTATTTTTAATGGATATGTACGTACTATTATGTTAAAAAATGCCGTTATCCTTTCTATATAAATTTTCATAACTTTCTTTTAGTTTCTAATATATTTACATATGTATGTATATATGTAGTACACATTTTTTTTTTTTCAAAAATCTTATGAATAAACGCAGTTCACACGTCGAACCCATTTGGGATGTTATTTAGCAAGTTTTTTTTAAATAATTAAATTACTTAATATTTTTCTACACACATTATCGAATTAGCATTTATTAACCAGAGCCATGTAAAAATCAAACTTCGTACAATTTTTATGTTTCGTTGTAGCCTTTACTGGGCTCTCTTTAGCTCGTAAAACTGTTTTGCAAAGAGGTTCGAAATCGGAATTAATATACTGGTGTCTGCCTTTTTTAATTTTCGCTTCAGCTTGCTTTGGCACCGGTATGATTGGGTTAAATACCATCTGCGTACTATCGAATTGATCATAAAGTTCGNCCACCTACGTATTTTTAATGGATATGTACGTACTATTATGTTAAAAAATGCCGTTATCCTTTCGATATAAATTTTCATAACTTTCTTTTAGTTTCTAATATATTTACATATGTATGTATGTATGTAGTACACAATTTTTTTTTCAAAAATCTTATGAATAAACGCAGTTCACACATCGAACCCATTTGGGATATTATTTAGCAAGTTTTGTTAAAATAATTAAATTACTTAATATTTTTCTACACACATTATCGAATTAGCATTTATTAACCAGAGCCTTGTAAAAATCAAACTTCGTACAATTTTTATGTTTCGTTGTAGCCTTTACTGGGCTCTCTTTAGCTCGCAAAACTGTTTTGCAAAGAGGTTCGAAATCGGAATTAATATACTGGTGTC